GATTGGTTTCTTGATTGGTTTCTTGATTGGTTTCTTGATTGGTTTCTTGATTGGTTTCTTGATTGGTTTCTTGATTGGTTTCTTGATTGGTTTCTTAAATGGTTTCTTGATTGGTTTCTTGATTGGTTTTTTGATTGATTATTTGATAATTTTAACGATCAATTTAGGTTAATAAATTGACCCTGTAGTCTAATTGATTGATTGATCAGATTGATTAACTGATTGGTCAATACATTATTTAAACATTTGATTGGTTAATGTAGGTATCTAAATCGTCCCTGGAGTTTGTAAGGTTTGAGGCTGAGATAGAAAACTATTCCAGCATGGAAAATGTTCTCGCTAAGCTGGATATGAGAACAATCAAACTCTCAGGTTAGAAATACTAAAATAACAAATCAGGGTTATAATAAGAGAGCACTGGTTAGGATCTGGAGCCTGATTCAGATCTAAGTACCAACATTTTAGAACCCTGGTTCCCGGTAGCAAATATGTGCGGCGGAAACACAGATTCGGATCCAAATGATGTAACAACCAAAACAAAGAATATAACTTGGTGCTCTCAAAATTAACAACTAATAAAATATCATTTGACCTTCCTAATCATTGATTGAAAAACAATCCTTACATATAATTAGCAAGAAAAGAAAATATGGAAATTAGGTTTTGCAATGTGACATACTGGACTACCGTATTTTAATTTCAGGATTCACTGAACTATTGAAGATCCGAGCTGCTGAGTCAAAAACTCCATTCCCCACCAGGTAAGTTTGTTTTAAAGTAAGAACATTTTTTCATATTCGTCATTGTGCCAACTATTCAGTCAGTTCTGAGCAGTCAATCGGGCATTAGCCTTTTTGGTCAATTGGTCAATTGGTCACCAAGCTAGCCGGTCATTTTTTCCTGATGTAGCTTGTAAATTCATGACTGAGAACACGGTAATCCGGCTATTGAGTTTGCCGGCAAATCTGCGAGAACTTTAAAATCTTTTCCTAGGGCTGACTGGGACGAGTTCTTCCGTGATAACAAAGACATGAACGAGATGAAAGCCGGAGAGCGACCTGATACTCTTCATCTTCAAAACCTTCCGGTCAAATGGTTCCTGCAATTACAGGTACGTGATTAGAGTAAATTCAGATAGATAGGGGTTCTGAAGTATAAGCGGAATCAGGAAGGTGTTGATTTTAAAAACATTGCTCACCCTTACTCACACAATGGCGTTAATATGAAGACCGTAAAGCATGAAGCATGTATAGTCAATTAAAAAAAAGTACGCAGAGTCCTGTTTCCTCTCAGCTTTCTATAGACTCATTGACAAGGTTTGAAAAACCCCCGGGTTTTTTCTTAAAAGAACCAGCCCAATGGGTTTTATTATTTTTTTTTTGTGTGGGTTTTATTGGTTTTTTTGGGTTTATTTTTAGGGTTTTTTTAATTTGAAAGGAGTTGAAACCTCCTAACTAATTCATTATAATAAGACTATTTAAGCAATAGGTCAACTTAATAGCTATGAAAAATGATAATATTGTTGTGATAATAGGCTAAAATCATATATAAATACTCTTCAAATATAATAATATCACCTCCCGTCTTTAAAGGGGAAATAATGCAAGTTTTTATATTAAAGTTCTATGAATTTCAGACTATTTCTATTTTCTCACTTTGATATATATTTCTGATTGGGGGTGGTGCTACTCATATTTATCGGTAGATACTTTTATGCTTAAGAAGGAAGACCACTGTTAAGTACCGAAAAACTTCAGATCACTCACACATAAGACTGTTAATTTATTCTATCGAAACATATTTAGAAATCTAATGAGAAAAGAATAATGTGTCTGTTTTAGTACTGTAAACTCCCTAAAAATCAATACAGTTAATAATAGACCTTATTTTTTGAAGAGTTTTTAATTTAAGAGTAAAAAAGGGCAATATTTAGAAAAATTCTATTAAAAAAAAAAAAACAATAAACCCCATAAAAGCCATCTTACAGGTGAGTAGAAGAATGCTTATATGCCAAGGGGGAGGGGGTTCCATCTAGTCCAGCCAGGAAATGGGAGGGAAGGGGTGTGGGAGATTTGAACGCTCTTGGTACCTGGTACATAGTTGGAGACTGGAGTTTTTGAAAACTCCAGCGGAATAGAATTAAAAGGACCTGCAACTAAAAGTTGTATACTGGTTTTTGCAAATATTTGCAATATTCTTTGCTAAACTTAATCTGCTTCTGATTTAGTCAGTTATACGAAAAGTAGCAATTCAGGAAGTGTGCCTTTGGACTCAGGCATATAGTATTATAAAGCCCGGTTTTGACCTAAATGGAGGGCTATGAGCATCTAGGAAAAGTCAGTAAATATTAACAGCCTCAGATCAATACTTTTTGTGTTTAAGTTGAATTAAGTGTAAAGACTGTCTGTTCTGAAAACTGACTGAAGTTTCGGCATGTTTCGTTTCCTGCCATTAACTGTAATTACTAATTATTATTATTATAAAGATTTATTCACACACAAAGATAAAAATACATATATAATGGTATAGTTTAAATTTGTTTAAATCAATTTTTGAATATATAGCTTTACAAAAGAAAAAAGAAAAATATGCAAAATTATGCACAAATAGACAACATTGATCATTACTCATTACATAACATATTTATCATTTCATTTATTACGTAATCATCGAAACCTTCAACATATAAATTATTGTGACTGTTATAATTCGTTTTCACATGTATTGTTTATGACTAGAAATCAAATTTGATTTGATTTGATTTGATTTGGCAGCTCTTCTTCTAAATTCTTTGAATACAGTGTTATCCCAAATCACTGGAATAATTTTCATGTTCATTCTGTTTTACACTAAAATTAAATGTCTTTTTGTTTTTTTGAAAAGAAAAACTTTAATTTACGAGGCATTGACAGATATTTATTCATTATTATGACGGTTACTACTTAATGCTAATTGTTCTAGGATAAGTCTGGAGTGGTTCCTGATAAACCATCAGAGTTTGTTTTAAAGAAAGCTTTTAGTTCATTTGGAGATATTAGACTCGTAGATATTCCAATGCTGGATCCTTACAGAAACAAGGTAACTTCATGGGCTTATAGAGGAATTGTTCCACAGAAACAAGGTAACTTCAGGGTCTTGTAGAGGAATTGGTCCACAGAAACAAGGTAACTTCAGGGTCTTTAGAGGAATTGGTCCACAGAAACAAGGTAACTTCAGGGTCTTATAGAGGAATTGGTCCACAGAAACAAGGTAACTTCAGGGGCTTATAGAGGAATTGGTCCAAACGGAGGAGGGAGCTGATAATTTTAGCCCCTCCCCCCCTCGAAAGCCCGAGCCGTATATAAGGCTCAACAACAGCTTAGACCCGAGTCGTATTTTCTTGAATTTTTTAAATCGCCGGCTCTGAAAGAGGGTCAAAACAAAGATTTAGTTTGTTATACGAAACGTATTAATTCAGGTTGTGTGCCTATGGACTCAGGCATTTAGTATAAAAGCCCGATTTTAGACCTAAATGGAGGGCTATGAGAATCTAGGAAAAGTCATTTTTTAACAGCTTCAGATCAATACTTTTTGAGTGTCTGTACTGAAAACTGACTGGAAAAAAAATCGGCTTCTTTCGTTTCCTGTCAGTAACTGTAATTGTGATTGTAATAATCCGTTTTTACATGTATTGTTTATGGTTAGAAATAAAATTTGATTTGATTTGAAACTGCAACTTTTTTTCTTCATTCTTTGAATAGAGTTTTATCTAAAAAACACTGGAATAATTTTCATGTTCATTCTGTTTTATGAATATATATATAAATATAAATAAAATAAAAATCCCGGCAAGAACTTTTTCGCCCTTAATAATACCAATTACAATTACATAAATAGATAATTCAAACTCAATACATCAGAGAGAAAAACATAAGTTTCAANCTGGAGTGGTTCCTGATAAACCATCAGAGTTTGTTTTAAAGAAAGCTTTTAGTTCATTTGGAGATATTAGACTCGTAGATATTCCAATGCTGGACCCTTACAGAAACAAGGTAACTTCATGGGCTTATAGAGGAATTGGTCCACAGAAAAAAGGTAACTTCAGGGTCTTATAGAGCAATTGGTCCACAGAAACAAGGTAACTTCAGGGTCTTGAGAGGAATTGGTCCACAGAAACAAGGTAACTTCAGGGTCTTATAGAGGAATTGGTCCACAGAAACAAGGTAACTTCAAGGGCTTATAGAGAAATTGGTCCAAACGGAGGAGGGAGCTGATAATTTTAGCCCCTCCCCCCCCCTTGTCAACAAAAATACTTAGTGTCAAAACTGAAATAATCAACATTTCTGAAATTACGAGTCTCTCAGAGCAATTTTATTTTTATTTAAACTTACTTCAAATTAGGCTTACAGTCCCTTTAATCTTCACTTGTTACGTTTACATCATGATTTAATTTATCATTGAAATGAATTTTTATCTTCATTTTCGTGGGCTTTTCAATTTTATTGATTTTTTATCCAAAGCACAAATATTAAAAAGTTGTGGGATTTTTATTTTAAATTCATATTATAAGAAAATTACTAAAATTCTTTAAATTAATTTTCCAACTATTTTCTCTTATTTAGATGGCGAATACTATCTCAGGAATCAAAACTTTTAGTTTTGGTGAAGATTTGGTTTTCCAGGCGTATGTTCAATTCAAGGTAATGTTTTTTCTATTTTTCAATGTTTTTAGGATAAAATTTATAATTGAAAACTTAAACCTTTAAACAACATGACTGTCAATTTTCCAAAAAGCAAATCAAAAACTTTTTTTAACCTGAACATAAATTTAATGAAACCCTTTGAAAAAGACTAAGAGGGGCTTTACTATTTTGTGCCCTTTGAATTTATCTCATTATTGAGATTAAATTAAGTATAACAATTAGCTAATTGATAATTGGAATTAAATTAAATAGGGTGCCGCATGAAATTTTTTATTTTTAACCTTTATTTATAAAAATTGAATGAGTGAAATGACCTCTTTCTTTTCTTTTTCCATGAACTTTTCAAGGGGGGTGGGGGTGAGGACAAATATTCACCCCTGTTATAATATTGTATTCAATGGTTTGTTTATCTAGGAATATATTGGATTTGTAAAGTGTATGAATGCCCTGAAAGGGATGAAACTATGTTACAAAGACAGGGATTCTAGCAAGGCGTGGACTGCGAATATTAAGGTTATATCTTTATAAAATCAAGAAATTTTGGGTGCTTGGCACCCATCTGCCAATTGCTTATCTTACAGCTTCCAACCTTTTTCTATGTTTTTTATTTCAATAGTAAGTTTTGCATATTAACCCCTATTTTTTGCAAATATATTTTGAATTGACCATGTCTAAATGGAATTTTATCAACTGTTGATCCATAAAAAACTTACCAAGTCAATGAAGATAAGTAAACTCTTTACTCATTGTTTAGGTTGATTTTGATCGATCCAAGCATCTAGCTGAGAGCACGATCAAGGCTCGGAAGGAGGAGAGGGAGAGGTTGGTGAAGGAGGAGGTGGACAGGATGGAGAAGGAGAAAAGGAATGCGAGATTAGAGCATCTCCAGAAGAAGGAACAGATGTAAGTATTAAAGAAACTGTCAATGTAACCTTCCACTTGAGAACCGTTTTTTAAGGTTTCACACGTTTTTTTTTTGGGCTCAGTGGGGTATTTTAGGGGGTCCAGAATGGGATTGGGTTTTAACAGTGTTTTTTGATGTTATATTACATTAAACATTTGCTGGATGACAATTTTAAAGAAATTGTGTTGTATATGGAAGTTTGTTTTAAATGAGAAATTGTCTATAATGAATTTTAAATTAAATTTGTTCTGTTATTAACTATTCTTGCAAATTTTTATAAAAGGTGAAATCATGAAGACGCTAATGTATCTTATATAAGTTATATAAAGTTTGAATCTCTTTTTGTTTGTCCGATCAAAACTCAGGAACTCCTTGACAGATTTTTCTAAAACTCTGATGGGAAACTTGGGAATGCTCTTACTTTGGGTATGGTCGAAATTTAGTTTTCCACTTAAAATTGATCAAGTGCTGGCGGGAGTAACTATGTACCCTAGGCAACACTGGATTCTCAATCTAGTAGACCATCAGAGTTTGTTTTAAAGAAAGCTTTTAGTTTTTAATCCCCACAAGCTTTCCCTGGCCAGGGGATACTTCTGGTTGTTGGCAAACCAATTAAACCCATTGGTTGGATGGTATCTGACAACCATGTTAGTTGAAGCAAGATTATTTACTGGGATTCATAGTGGTCCCGATCGGAACAGCCAGTGCTTCAGGATCATGTCCATTTTATATGCTTGTTCCAGCAGCACTTCTTTAGAGGCATTGTCACCCCTTAAGATTCCAGTTAGGGTTGCTTTGCTACTCCGGACCTTTCTTTCCTGTCATAAGGGCTTGTAATCCTGTTGCTATTACAACGTTCTACTAATCTTCTGTTCTCATCATGTGCTGATCTTATCAAAACTTTTCCTGAAATTTGTCTGACATACTGTTAACCACTCTATGTTTTTCTTGATCTTGTTGCTTATCCTGATGTTGATTGTTATCTTGCTCTCTATGCTTCTCTTGATCTTGATGCTTCTCCTGTTTTTATGCTTCTCTTAATCTTGATGCTTATTCTCTTGATCTTGATGCTTCTCTTGATCTCAATGCTTTCTTGACTCATGTTGTGTATAGCAGACAGATATCCGGCAAACTTCTGCCTCTCCTCAGTTATTTCCTCTGAATCCCCTTCTAGATCTGTTGCAAATATTATCTCCATGTTTACTTCATTGTATAGCTGGTATTCTACATTCATCTTATCTTATGAAATGCCAGAACCGAAAAGTTTTCCTGGAATATTTTGATAACTTCCTTTTTTTTGTGTTTCATTCTGGTTTAATATCTCATTTCATCTATCTGGAGATTTTCATGAATAAACTTCCTCTTTTTCTCTTTGATTTTGTAAAGGATTTATTGTTTCCACTATTGTTTGATCTTCATCATCATGATTCTTCATGTTTATAGCTTGTATACTGCCTGACAAATTCTAAGCATTTTCTGGAAGTTCTAATTCCTGGCCAGCTTCTTTTTCTTCTGGTAGCATGGATCCTACAACCCCCTTGTCTTTCCCTTTCTCCTCTACTCGTATCTTAGCAAATTTACCACTTCCAGTAGGGATGGACAATGTTACAATGATAAATCTTGACTTTGTTTAAGTATTATTTAATTTACTGAAACATGAGATGAAATTATCTGGTGCTATCTCAGTTGGACTAATGGTTGAATGGACTAACTCTCGATTTTACTTAAGTCAGCTGTTCACTTACCGAATTTGTTCTTTAGCCTAAAGTAAATAAGATTTAACTTGGCTTATAATCATTATTATTTAAGTGCAATTTCATTAATTTTTTTCTGAAATATGAATTCTGCTAAAAAATGAGTGTTTTAAAACAATGCTAATCTTCTTTTTTTACCAACCCCTTATTTTTGGAAAGCCAAATATTATTTAGATTTTTTTAAGGCTTATGTTCAAAATAATTATCATCCTTGCATAAAGGCGCTAACTCATCTAAACAGCTTCAATTTGTAATGTTTAAAAATAAATTATTAACTACTAGCTGAAAATTTTAATTTTTGAAAAAAAAAAATTTTGAAATTTTTTAGCATATTAAACCTCCGGCCACCCATGAGTGTCCACAAAAAATTTCACCCCATTTGGTCCAGCCATTTGGCCAGCTATAGACAACATATATGTATATACAAATGTCTTGTTTTATTAAATAGATTTGTTTGACTAAATTTGATAATGTTAGACTTTTCTGTGTATGAGGATTGAATTATGGATCAATAATAACCTAATTTAAATAATCTGAATATAAATTCAAAGTATGTTAAATCCTTTTTTATTCCCGATATGGTGTTGTAAAAAAGGAATTTAACATTAGTCAGATTGTCAGTAGTCCAATTGATATAGCATCTCCGACATTGAATGAATTAAATGTCATCCTCTATCTCACAACATCTTCCTCTGAGGAATTTGCTATTTGCACAGTGTGTTACTCAATATTCTATCTATATGAGCTTAATCTTTTTATCCTTAAACCAGAGCTTTCTCTTCATCACTCAACATGTTTTCCACTTGATTTAACCAATTTAGATGACTCGATCTTTTTCTCCTTAACTATAGCTTTCTCTTCTCCTTTAGCATGGCTTTCTCATCTTCTTTAATCAATGCATTTTCTTTTTCATCCCTCAGGACTTCCTCTTCATCATCCATCTTATTCATATTGTTCAAACTCAGGATCTCTTTCCAATTCTTCACTTCTGGTTTCCGAGTAACTCAGGATTGAATCTATTGGAAATGTTTCTCAAGTCAGTTTAATTCTTTTCCCATGATTAACATCATTCAATTCCAGGGTTTTCAGACATACATTGTTAGAATCCTTCCCTGAAAAAAACCGTATCCATTATTATCTTCTTGATAACCTCTTTAATATCCATCCTGGGTTCCGCCATTTGCCCGGATCCTTGATGCTGTTGTTCATCTCACCCTCCAGAGTCTTGCCTCTCACTTCTGCCATCACATGATATCTGTTCTTCTTTTCCCAAGTTATAGAAAGAAACTGGTTTCCTGTTTGTATTTCTTGTAATCCCGTTCGAATTCTTCTCCTTCCAGTCTTTAAAGAACCTCTTTAATTCATCTTTCCACTCAGAGTACTGCGTCTCACTTCTGCAATCATGTGATATCTGTTCTTCTTTTCTTAAATTATCGCAGGAAATTGGATCCCTGTTAATATTTCCTGTTTTCAACATCTTATCAGCTCACTTGCAGTTTTCCATTGTCTCAAAACTATCTGTATATGTAGTCTTTAACTTAATCATGGGATAGCTGGTGGTCAAGAACTGGCTTAATCTCATTTTGATGCTACAGCTCCTTAGGCATAATAAACAGGCATGTTCCCTACAAATTATGCATCATAAAGTCCCATAGCATTTCATCTTTGAATTCTACCAGGCTCCTCTCGTCTGGAGCGAATGCTTGTATCCATAACCTCCTATTGTCAGTATAATGTTTGTTTTTTTCTTTACCTCTTTCCTGTTTCCTGTCTAGGTATTCCTGTTTCTGGCAATTACCTCTTGTCAGTATTATATTCTCTGGTATCATCACCATTTTCCTGTTTCCTGTCAAGGTATTCCTGTTTCTGACCTTCCTCGTATTTTTCTTGTGAGAACCTTTTCAACATCTCTGGAGTGGCATTTATCTAAGGTTCATAAATCATCCCACTGCTGCCACCACTTTTGTAGCAAAGGCATTACTCCAATAAGTTTTCTTAATATGTATCGCACAGATACAACTCAATCTTAAACTTAATGTTTCTCAATTATCTGTATATATCTTTCAAGGTAAAACTCGATCTGACACTTTGTTCTCATACACGAGACAAAGGATCTTGTTCAACATTAAATTGTAGTCAAACCAATGTACATAGTACTCAGAAATCAACAAACGTAATACATGATAATGATAAGGACCGATAGGTTTTACGTAGTTAAATTCATGAACGTAATTAGGGTATAATGTTATCACATAATACATATAGGGATGTCCAGGTTTACAAATATGGGGTTTACTGCGATAATTATTATAGGATCCAAATCTGGATCACCTGGTGGTGGTAGGCGGTGATGCGGATTTTTGTCATAAACATTTCTTAGAGATTTACTGTTTTTTATAAACAGGGAATAAGTATCAAAATAATTTTACTTCTTCTTGACCATTTAAAAAAAATTTATAATCTTTTTTATTTAGCAGTTTAAATTTTATTTTTTTGATCAAAAGTTTTTTGGTTGTAGATTTTGGTTGATATTCTTCCGCATATTTTTTTGTATCGAATCCAAGAAGCCAAACTTTGTGGATCCTAAGCACTGGTTTTTAGATTGCCTTCTGTTTGGCTGAAATATACTAGTTGACAAGCACTCAATTACTGAAAGTTTAGGGACCCCTTTTTGGCTTCTTTGAATCACTTTCAGTGGCTTGATCATTCTAGTTGCAATTATATCGCATTTTATTTGACCTTTAGTGTTGCGGTTTAGTCGGCTATAGGTAACATACATGTATTCATACATGCAATTTGCACACACACATTTATATAAATACAGTTGGAACCAAAAACTGTGGAATAGAAAGACGACTTTTAGACTATTTTATGTTGTTAAAAAGTCCAATGAACAATGAACATGAGACACAGGAAGTGTGCAGTGCGCTCAAACCATTTCACTTAAATTGTGATTTTTGAAACATGCTAAATTTTTTGGTTTTAACATTAAACAGTTAAATATTATGTCGTCTTCCTACTCCAAAGTTTGATGGTTCTCACTGTTTATATTTCTCTTTAAATGTGCTGCTTATATACAAGATTGCATTGAAGGTATTGTTGGTGATCTGCATGCATAATTTCTTTAAATAAAAGAAATTAAACTTGTTTAGTAAACTGTTGGAGGCAGAGGAGCGAGAACAGAAAGAAAAGAAAGCTGCCAAATCTCTTGTTGCGGAACAGAGACGACTAGCTAGGTAGTTTCTAAGTCTCTGCACTTCTTAGCTCGTAAAGCCCTTAAAGAGAAACCATTTAATAAAATTGGAATTGCCAATTTTAAGAATAAAAACTAAGAAAATCTTCATCATTTTGCTCAGATAAAGGTTTGATGGGTTTCATTGAGAATCGGTAACTTTAAAATTTAAAGGTATAAGTTGGCTAGTTGGATTAAAAAAAAATTCAATTACTTCAGGAATTTTATTATACTTGTACTTTGCCAAATTTGTTACACAGGAATAGACATCAAATAAGACCTTAAGAAAACTTTATTTTGATGTTGGAATGTACCTGCATATTTGCCAAAAAAAATTCTTTCATCAATAGAAATGATTTTCTTTAGAAAAGAGATTTACGGGATAATGTATAAATCTTTGTACTATTGAGAAAATCAAAAGTTGTCAAAATGACACTAAATAATTTTTACCGCCTTTTGACCAACATTACCAACCTATGATTCCCCCAACAGAGGGAGGTAAAGTTACTTAACGTTCCTTTGGACAGTTTGGTAACATTACCACCGGCTCTGCGAAGTTTTCAGGGAAAAAATTGCGCATTTTCATCTCAAAAGACAATATTATTTCTTTGGGAAGTTAAAAATTTTACTTAACCAAGGGTTCTCTTAACTTCCCTGTAAAGTAGTTGTAAATAATTAAACTTCATGCTTTAAAAAAATATAATTTAATATAATTTTTATATTATTTTATCATTTTTATATAATTTTCACATAATTTTACACTATTTTTTTTTCATCATTTGTATATAATTTTAACATCATTCTTTATCATTTGTATACCAATTTATATCATTTTATATCATTTTTTATCATTATATATATTTTTATATAATTTTTATATAATTACAATTTTGTACAAGGGAGGAGAAAAGAAAGAATAGAAGACTCAAGAAAACGGGCCTTACTGAAGAGGAAGAAATGGCTTACAGGTATATTTAGAACGCATTTCTAACTATTTTATGTACTCTTCTTTACTTGATAGTACAGTGCAAGGGTTTTTCCGATGACCTTCACAGGAAAAACTTGAAAATGTATATTGTGGGGGAAATACGATTATTTGTTATTTTTTTTTTTTAATATGAATAGAATTGAGAATTAGTGGCATTTTTAGATTTTGACCAAAAATACACAATAATACTTGAGGAAGTAGTACGTCTGGAAACATAAAAAGATTTTTTTTATTTAGAATCATTTTTAACAATTTATTATTTTTAATTTTTAGTTATATAATTGGATACATTTAATACAGAAAAATTCTTATTAGATTATTCTTCTTATCAGTTGATCAGGCTTGAAAGTACAGGCAGGGGGGGGGGGGCTCGGGGGCATACGGGTGGGTTGTGTAGGGTTGTGTTTTTTTTTTTAATCAACATCTGAAAACTTAAATTTAGAATCGGAGCAGAGGAGAGGAAGTTGATTCTAGCACAGAGGAAATTGGAGAGCATTCGTATCCTTGACGAACTGATAAGCAGGGCCAAGGTGATCCTCATCCTCCTCAACCAGGACCCTTCCGGGACCTGTCTCGGGGGATTCATACATTTTTAATCTAGGGGTCCATAAAATTTCACACAAACTCACACGATCCTAAACAGTAGTCCAGGGACCAGATTTTATGAATAGCAAGCAGCAGCTGAACCGCGTGGACTAAGTTAGACGATTAACCGACATAGGGTCAAATCCAATATTGTAAAACTACCTAGGGTCAAATGGCCAAAACCGCAACCAAAGGTAAAACGACAAAGGGGTCCAAAAGTGCGACACACAGGCAAACTTTTTGAGAGACGGCTCAAACCAAAGTAAGATCAGAGACAGCATATTGTTTAACATATTAAAGGAGAAAGATGAAAGAAATATTTTTGTCATTTTGACCCTTATGTCGTTTTACCCGTTGTCATTTTTGTGACCCTTGGTCGTTTCATCCTATGTCGGTGCGCCGGGTTAAACTGAAGAGAAGTATTCAACTTGGTTCTGGTATTTATAAAATCTGGTTCCAGGGCGTGCAATCGCCATAAAATTGGAATTTGGAAGTACAAAAATGTCAGATCATTTTGCGATGGGGTGTGTATTTTAATAAAGATGTAATTAAAAATCCGAATTAAGAAATTCACCATTTTTTACTAGCTTCTATCAGGATCAGAAATTGAATTTTTTGGACCCAATGGAATGCTTTAATCATGATGCGCCTAATGATATTTATAACAATAGAAGAAACTTCGTCAAGTCAAGGTTTTGAATCAGTCTTTGGAGTCTTTTTAGGAGTTGTAAAATTCACATTATTCAGGCATGCATTTTGTTTATAATTATTTTGACAATTTTTGAGTATGGAAATTTTATTCCATATTTTGTTCCACTTTATATTATAAAATGCTTTCTACTTGAAACATTTGCTCCTCCTACAACTGTTAAGATGATAAGAAGACTTTTAGAAAATTTACCTCGAGCTTTGGGTTGGAAATCCTACACAAAGGAATTTGCAAATAATAAATATAATATAAAGGGGGAATGTGCTATCTTACAACTCTAAGATTAAAGCCCCAGAAAGTATAAGAATGATTTTGCAAAGACTTTGTCGTAAGTTGCTGCTCTGAGGAGTTATGTGCGGAAATTACCGCTTATCGAAATTCTGAATGGCAAGTTTTAGTGGACATTAGTGATTAGTCGGTGGACGATTTTACTTAGCAGAAGGAATAGCAGATGCTTCCGCTCAGTGAAATTATAGACAGAAGCTTTCACTAAGTGAAAGAACCGCTGAAAGCTTCTACTAAGCGACTTTTTAATGGAAGCTTCTGTTAAGCAGAATTATAGATGGAAGCTTCCGCCTAATAAAAGGACAGCTGAAAACTTCTGCTAATCGAGTTTTAGCGGAGGCTTTGGCTCCGGTAGGCGGAATTATAGATGAAACCGTTGCTTAGGGAAAAAACTGGTGGAAACTTATGCTCAGCAGATATATTGACGAATCCTTTACTCAGCCGTTATGCTGTCAAAAACCAAAAGAGAGAGTGAATATGAACTGTAGTGACCTAAATGTGATACAAATGGTCTACCGTTAAAACATTTGGAGGGTTTGTCCTAAAAAAATCTTAACAAATTTGTTCTTGTAATATCTATTTTCACTTAAAATGAGTTTGTTTTTCAAAAAATTATTTAGCAGCGAGAAACTTAACTTACAAATTATATTTTAATCGTTTAGTTTTTTCAAAGTAAAAAAGGACATTCCTGTTGATAAAGCAATTTGGAGAAGATAACATTGAAAACACATACGAAGCTGTTTCAACAGGTTGACCCCTCTGCAACTTACAGTGTTTTGTAGTGCTTAAGCCAAAACAGTGAAATACAAAAACATCTAAAGTGAACAATATCAAACGGTGATTAGACTTTAGACACTAGATTTTAGAATAGACACTGATCTTTAATAGTTCAAGTGAACATTAATATCAGAGGGAAGGTCCAGTTCATGTTAAATCCTAAACTTATGTTCTTTCTGGTCAAAATCAAAACGTTAAGTTTTTGGTCAAACATTTTGATATTTTTGAAATTGAACTGATCTGGACTTTTCTGATATCAAACTGGGAGTTGAAGGAATCAGTTCGCAATGAAATCTCAAGAAAGCCTGAATTTTCCAGATTAGGATTCTTAATTCATACAAATAGTATGGAACTAGCTAGATATCCATATTCCATATAATCCATAACCATACGCCATAAATACCATCATTTTTATTCATCCTTGTACCATCTCACAGTCTCTATTGAATTTTCAAAATCAAGATCTGAAACATGTGTTGAGAATAAAACCCGTCCCTAAAAAAAGCATAGACAACTTCTGGGGTGGAAAATTTCAAAAGAGGGGGAATGGGTTTTTTGAAAGAAAATATACACTTTGACCATGTACATTGTACATGCTAGAGCAATTCTAAAACATGGTTTTAAACTCTACCTCGCCAGAGTCATTAAATCACTTTATTTAAAAGTGCACTACAATAATTCACACTAATAAAAAATTCTTAGAAATTTTGAAAACTATCTGTTGTCTTTTTTTAAGAAAGCTGGTTATGTTTGACTAGTTCTGTAAAGAAAATGGCAAAGAATGTCGAAATTTTATGATTGGTTTTGATTGATGACATATTTTAAAATTAGATTTACACTCTTTCAACATTTAAATTTTACTGTTCACTGGTTGAAAGTAATGCATGATAAAAAGAAAAAAATATTTTATAAGGTTCATTTTGATAATTATTATCGAAAAGATGGTTTTGCATCGATGAAGCTTGAACAGTAAATGTTAAGGATAATGCAAGTAATTAAGAATATTTTGTTAACCCTATCCCAGGGTCTAGGTAAAATCAAGCCAGCTCTGCAGAATAAGACTCCAGCAGTCCAGGAGTCATCATCAGGTAGGCTAGGCAATAGGCATTGATAATTCGTCTTTGATCTACGAGGCATTCATTTTTATATTGTTTCAGGAATATATTCCCCCCCC